ACCTATACTTCGGTTTTACTATAAGCAAGTGTGACAAAAATCACTTCAAAAATTTAAAACTGTTGCAACTGAAGGAGTAGCTAGGTTGTTGGCAAAAAGGGAGGGGGAAAACTTTACTGAAGAGATGGGTGGTGGGAGTGATGGAAAAATCATTTGAGAGGAATAAGTTACGATTACTCTTAACTTTGCCTTTTATCCTTTTTGTTGTCCATGTATTCACATTTGAATGCCAGCCTGCTCTCACTTTCCTTCCCAAGCCAAATTCTGTTTTGTGAATGAAAAACAAGACTAGTAGGTTACAACATGAGATGCCATGAAACTATTAGAGCTGCAGTTGAACAAGGCTGCACTTTGTTCCTCCTCTGCCTCACTGCTCCCTCTCTCTCGGCGTCTGAAAATCCCTGAGGCCAAGCCAGTAGGCATTAGAACATTGTAGTCACTGCAAACACAATCTTCCTGGGGTTTATGGATAAATAATTACCAAAAAAACACTCTAATATGTAACACACACCTCTAAAGTGCCTTCTGCGTTTACTTGAGGCATTGCTCTGCAGTAGTAGAGCAAAGTCTACAGTACTACATTGCAGCCATGGGTCCTGCTGGAGGCACCTTCCCTGCATCTGCTGCACAAACTATCCCAAAATTTTAAACCTATCTAGGTTTTCCCATTCCTGCAAACCCATGGATTAGAAAATAAAGAGTGTGAGTTGCATGTGGAAAGCTGCAGTGCTGCACCACAAATGCATGCAGGCTTGGAATCACACGGTGGCTGTTGGGTCCTGGGTTGTCACTGAAGAACAGTCATTCTCTAATATCTCCTCTATGCAACCACCACTGAGACCCACTGTTTGGATGTGCTGCTCTAGGCATAGCCAGACCCCATCCTTTGGCTTGCAGGCATAAGTGGTCCTGCTGCCACAGCTCAACTAGAGCCAGGGTTCTGTAAGCTCTCCTGCTCTCGCCCCTGGCCAAACCAGAGGTACTTGGGATCCTGGCATCGCTCCACACACCCCCAGTGTCCTCTACCAGCCAGACTCTTGTCAAGGGCTGCCTCAAGGCCCTCAGCACAGCTGAAACCGGCAGAGCAGCAGGGGAAGCTTTACACCCTGTGCAGCATATTGCAGAGATCTGAGAAGCCAAGCAAACCACATTTGGACGCGGGTGCCTCTCGCTGGCCTGCAGGTACATGGATGGAGGTGTCAGTACAGACTGCACTCCCTGCCCACCCCTCACCAGCCACTGGAGCAGCCCTGTATCTCCACCAACTCCCTTGCTCTCCAGGTTCCCCCCTGGGAATGACAGGACAAGTCTAGGCCACCATGAGCAGCCCAAATTCATAATGGGAACTAACCAGAGAGGCTTTGCCTGGAGAGGGAACAACTGTGCTAGTTTGCACTGCTTCATCACCCAGGCTAAGTGGGCGGGGGGGCAGCAAAGGCTGTCACTATATATAATCTATATATTAGCAGCACTGTTTTCAGCACAAATCCAAAACACAGCCCCATACAAGCCACTGTGAAGAAAGTTAACGCTACCCCAGCAAAAACCAGCACAGATGGAAAGACTGGAAAGAAACCATCTGCCTGAAGCCCAGGTCACTTACCTCAGAACTGCCCAAGATCGCTCAGGGCTGGAACTAACAGGCGTGGCAGCGCTCATAAACAGTGCAAGAAGAGTGCAACCACAGGCATCATAAATTCAGACAATTTTTGTTTTCAGCGAGTACTCAACTGCAAGCAGAGTGCAAGTAAACAGGAATGATTTAATTATCATATAAAAGTAATTAATTACACACAAGAATCAACAGGGGGGCCTTCTCAAACGCTGGTGACACATTACTGTCAGTTGTAGAACAGTTAGCCACAGACCTACATGAGCAAGACCAGACCCTAGTTTCTACTCTTAAAGTAGCATCATTATTTTGGCAGACAAACATAGGCTTTAAAAACATCACCAAAGACCATAGAGCACTTTCAAAGCAAGTAACATAAAACCAAAGCTGGGGTTGCTTCAGTGTTGCACTTGTAATATGGAAATAGGCTAATGATCAAACTAATCAGTGTCATTCATCAGGAGGTTTAGTTCTTCCTGCTAGAGGGTTGGGGACAACTAACGTGATGTTAAGTATGGATGAAGCCAGTGCTGCTTGTAGCAGCTGAACTGAGGGACAGACAGATCATCTTCTCCCAGCTTCTTGCACCACTTAGTGCATGGCCCCAGCATCTACATAACACTTCATGTGCTTATTCTCTGCTCCTTTTCCCTTCTGTCAAAAGCATGAAATAGGTAATTTCATCTGAAGCTAAGTATCTAATGTCCACATGTGCACTGTGATCCCATGACAGCTACAGCCACTGGAGAATTCAATCCTGTTGCCCACACATTTAGCAATGATGCCCAGATGCCCAAGATAACTTAGGGCATCATGAAAGATGTACCTGACTGGTAGGTATGACTGAGGACTGATGGGAGACCTGAACCTTTCCTGACGAGCAGTCAAAGGCCAGGCAGGACACCTTACAGGATCTAATGTGGCACCGTGCATTGACAACTAAGGTAGTCAGTTCAGCCTGTAGAATGAGTCAAATTACCCTAAAGGAACTTGGTACCAGCTCAACTGCTCTGTTCAGCCATACACACACATAGCTCAATGCTTAAATTTTAGGTGGGCTTAATCCTGAGCTGAATCCCACACACAGCCTGCAGGAAGCAAGTGGTCTGTAGTTCCTTCATCTCCCATTAACTCACCACTGTTGCTCATGGCTTAGCTGAAATTGAAGCAGGTCCTGTTCACGTTATCTTCAGATATTCATCAGAAACCTTGTGAGTTATGGTAACCAATGCCAGCCAGGGGACATTTATGACTGGGGTTTTGCTCTAAGTTATTCACCTCAAGGAACTAAAAGCCCAGTTCAGCATCAGCCTATCACCCAGGAGACAATACTGTCTTTCACACACAACGTCATGTATCCCACCTCATATACTTACTGGGGATTTGAGCAATTTATTTTGAAAATCAAGGAATGCACCAATCTCAGTGCTGGCATTTTATGCAAGCTCACAGAAAAATAGTCAGACATCAGCTATCCAAGCTCCAGAAAACAAAGGGCTCCATTTAGATGCCTGAATGCCAGCATCTAGTGCCATTTGAGATGCCCTAAGGCACCCAAGATACACATGGGGTTGGCAGATATCACATAGGACTTATGGAAGCAGAAGCTGGAGCCATGGAGCCTATGCAGGATACCCCAGGGTGTCTTAAATGGTACTTGATGCCAAAGTATAAGCAACCAAATTAAGTTTTAAAAATCCTGTTTATACTGAAGTCAGCCGTATGTCTCCCATATCTAACAAACATGTATCTTGCAGAGCAGCTAAGCAGCAAAAGAGCTACAAAGGAATTGCATCCTTATTTTGGGTCTGCTGAAATCTGGCAGAGCTTACAGACTGTGTCAGCTTATTTTGTTATGAACATATAATGCTCACTGAACCCCATGAGCTGCTGTGATAACAATCTCTGCCAGCTTGCTGAATGGATTCCTTTCAGTTGCTGCCTCTGAAGTTATGTGGCTAGAACAGAGCTTCTGCAGTATACCAGTGCAACAGAAACATCGGTTTTTAGCTTCGGGAGCAAGAAAGCTGTCAGAAAAGATTAATGGCTCAGAATTGATTATCAGACTGTAGGAGCAGAAGGTCATTGTGTCAAGACTCCTGGCTACTGCAGTGAGAATGTACTGCTGACTAATCCTCTTATAAACACGTGCACTGCCACGAGGAGGAATACCTCTAATGATTTAAATCCAATTTGTATTAATCGGTGCACTGTTTATTACAGTGCAGTTGTCATGGCACTACAGTCTTAACAGAGCTAGATGACAGCAGAGGAGTATACAAGTCTTTCATCTGCAGTTAATAAATCTGGGGTCCCATGAAGGCTGTGTATCTCTTTTAAAGAATCACAGAACAATTTACATTTGAAAAGGCCTCAAAGAGACCAAACATTATCCCAGCATTGCGAAGTCCACCACTAAACCATGTCCCTACTGTCACATCTACACATCTTTTAAATACCTCCAGTGACAGTGTCTCTGCCAACTTCCCTAGGCAGCCTGTTCATGCTTGACAATGCTTTTGGTGAAGGTCTCAGAACCCAGCACTAAACTAGCTACCATAAGTATTTCCAGCAATTAGTCTTACATGAGCATGGTTAATAATTTTCTGGACTATCAGCAAGGAGCAGTGACATGATTTTTCCCTGAGGAGTTACTTAGAGTGAAACAACCAATAGCCAGGTTAAATTTGAGAATATTCCACCACACATTCTTTGCAAAATCTAATTCATCTAATTAAAAGACCTGAGTGGTGAAAAACCAGAAAATATGATTTGTCTTTGGATTTTATTATTAAGGAACTTAATGAAAATTTGTATGTACTAGTATACACCTTCCTGTCCAATTTAGAACTGTAAGTCATTTTTCCATAACACGCAGTTTAAACAGCCTCCATCCTTGAGCACAGGTTATGTGAGTGCATACTGCCATCTAGGCAGGATTTTGGGAGCAGCACCTATTTCTACAACATTATCCACCTCTGCCTAGGAAAAATATTCTATTATCCAAAACAGAGGAGAAAGGAACGGTTTTTTCATACTATTAAAACCAACCCATCGCCAGTCACCAAAAATACAAAACCTGTCCCTCAACCACACTGTCACAGTCCACATTACGAGCAAATATTTTCTACGTGTTTATTAAGAAATATATTATTCCATATTTCAATACAGGTAAATTGAACTTAAGCTTTGCATTAAATTAGAAATTGCTTTTATCTATGAAAACTGCAAATACAAAGTATATTGTATTAAGGTTATTAATTACCAAATACATTTTACTATGGCAGTAATATAATTGCATCTATTTTATATGCTTTGAAATACAGTAACAGTATGTTTTTAGAAGACAGTTACTAAAATATCTATTGATGTTCTACAAAGACAGAAATAATTTTTAAAACCATTTTACTTCATACAACCAAAATAACTTCCATCCAGCAGGAAAAAAATATAAATATATATAATGCATCTATTTTATTTAAAACAATAAACAAGTTCTATACATGGCATTTACAGGAGACTTAGAAAACTTCACTAACAATCTCATTTTGATTGGAGACATTAACAACTAGCTTCACTGTCAGTTGTGCGATTCTTCAGGGAATGCACAAACTACGAATGCAGAATATTGCACAAAATGGTAGTAAGACCCAAAAAGATTATCATTTAGCACTTTCCATAGATACAAGTCCTTTGAACATGACTTTTTGAATAGAGTTCTGCTGAGGGCAAGCATTGCCACATATTACAAAAAATTAAGTACGCCACAGGGATTGCTCTTGAGGTTTGGGAGAGTGAGACAAGAGTTGCCGAGGAGCTCTGAGACACGCCACTGAGATGTTGGCATGTGCACCTTGGCATCCACTGAGGACAGATTTCCCTTGGATGTCAGTGGATCTGCTCAATTAACAACCTCCCATGTGATCAAAATGGGTGATAGAAGGGCATGGGATGAAAATCCACAGTGAAGTTATCCCCCTCAGCTTCCTCTCTGGCATGTTTCAGCTGACACCTTGAGGATTGTCCTGAGCAGCTTTGTGTAAAAAGGTATTCTTCTTTCTCCCTGAAAATATCCATGTATAATCATGGAAATGTGATTATCTGGCTACTGGCATACATCTCCCCAACCCCTTTGCTCATGCAGCATGACACTGGTTTGTGCAGAGAGCAAAGCAACCAAAAAATTGGGAAGTGCTTTTTGCACAACTGCTTAGTAGCAGACACATCACATATCTAGAGGAAAAAAAATTAAACAAAGATATTGCAGAAATAATGTACCAATTAAGCCTCTCACCTATAGCAACAAAGCAAAAAACTCCTGCTTCCCTTTTCAAGAAAAATAGAGTTTCCCCTTGCAGAAAGGAAAATTAAGTATTACAGACTATTATGCATGAAGCCACTCAACTGAAAGACAGCTAATGCCAGTAGTTAAGCAGGTCTCCACCACACAATTTGGTCTGGCTGTCTAAGATTTATTTTGCTGAAAATACAGTCACATTCAAATCACTTCTTTGGGTTTTTCCAAAACAATAGCAAAACTAAGAGACAACATGAGCATATTATGCTTTATTGAATAAAATTCTGCTTCTAATATTTACACAGTGAAGTCTAGAGATGTAACCTAGTGAAGCATGGTTATGTGTAACATACATATGACATCTGGAATATCTTTAAATACATCTGAAACTACTTATTACAGCAATCACCTGCCCATCACTGATTTCAAAATTAAGGAAAATTTGAAGTTTCTGAAGAGTAGCCAAGATGAATATTAAGGATAGCCGAGTTAAAAGAAAACAGTCTGCTATGTAAATTCCAAACCCGAAAGATCTGAATAAAGTGTCAAGAGTTTTGAAGGCAGCTTCTGTATATCCCTGTTGTTCTCATCTCTGCAGAAAAAGATGACAAAACAAATTATAAATCTAAGGCTGAAAGTAATATCCACACCTTAAACACACGGTGCCCTCCACGGTAATCTTACTTATTAAATTCATAATGTCTTAACGTCAAGGTTGTGAACTACAACAAAATACTTACTCATTTTTTATTAAATACTATTTAATTCTATACTATTTAGTTACTATTTTTACAGGTGCCAAGGTAGATCCACAGAAATTAGAAATGCTGTGACCGATGTCTAGTGTCAACACAACATTAATTATTGCCATGTATGCAAAAATTTTATGAAGTGTCTTCCATACCACTCTAGAATGTTAAGCAAAGTGTTATGTGTTTTTTCTGGAGCTCTACTAGATATACTATCATTCTACTATTACAATGAAGAGGGGTCTTGTAAAAAATTATAGTCAATACCTTTCCTGTTTATAGGGTTGTTTTTTTAAGATAATTTCCTTATTGATCTTGCATAAATTCTCAGCAAGGTTTGAATGCAAGTAACAGACTTGCAACAGCCATACTAAAAGACTAACATATAGCTCTAGTAGACTGTTATCTTATATTTGGACTACTCACTAGTTGTAAATAAGACATGATTCATTGGCTATTTGCATGATTTTTGTCATCCAGCAGGAAAAGATTATAAACCAGAAATGCTGTGTCCTACTCAAGCCTCTGCAGACAGCCTGGGTTACAGACAGCGCATTATTAGGCGGGCATTCTAGCCTGCCACATTTGCAATTTCTGTGTTGAAAAAAAGCTGGTTGTTAGTCTCAGGTTAAAAAGATCTTGCACAGTCTCTCATACCTTACTTACCAAACAGGGAGAGGAATTATAGTTTTCCGATACCTCAAGTTAACCCGAATAAAGTCCTGACGAATAGCCAGGAGTACAAGGAAGATACAATTATGAACCAAAGCACCTACCAAGTCCCTTCCTGTTTCCCAGCACAACTGACTTCAAATACATGGTTGGAAAGAAAACTACATTTAAATCAACGACCTGACATCCCCTAACATCACCTAACCTTTAAGCACCAAGATTAAACTTTCCCTAAAACAGTTCCATAATGAAGTTCAGTGTGATAGCTTTGCATTTTAAGAGACTATATTTGTAACAGTAATTACGTCTCTCCATAAACACACACACCATCATGGAGGTAAACTATAACCTGCCAAGCAATAGCTTTAAAATTCAGAATTTGACAAGAAAACAAAATATGCAAATGTGGTAGTAAAAGCTGCAAAAGATAACAGAAAAGCACTTAGCTATCTGCCATTTCTAAGCTACAGTCACCCCTCAACAAATTTGTGTATCATAAGAGTATATTTCATAAAATTTGTGGTTATTTTCTTCCATTTCTTCTTTTAGGGTTTTTCCTCTCCCTCAAATGAACAGCTAGACACCATCCCATTTACACAGGAAATGTATATCCATCTTAATCTCACTGCTTCTTTTACCTTTATCTGTTTTCCAACTACAGAGAGTTATCTGGAACACAGTTGTCTACCTGGAAGTTATTTCTCTTATAGCTAACATAGCTACAAAATTTAATAACTAAGAAGCTGCTGAAAGATAGAGACTTTGTTCTTGCCTGTCTCATCAGTAAGGTATACAGGATGAATTGACAAATGCTGCCTTTAAGCAGGAAATCCATCTGTGCTGTCAATCTCAAGATAAGCAACTATCCATGTGTGAGATGCTGTCAACACAGGTTGAATAAAACCAAATGTACATTAAGATAATAAGGGTAACTTTAGAAATCATTAACTGCAGCATCCAGCTTGAAACCTTGCATTAGCCTCAGACAAGAAGCAGTAAATTAATTCAGGTGTCTGAGAAGATCCTTTCTGGGTTGAGGTACATCTGTGTACACAGATGAATACATTTCAGGAAGAATTTTGTTTGTTAAGATGTAGATCTCTTCTTTGTAAAGCGAGAAATTCTTACTTGGTGAGTAAGGGTAGAAAGACTTTGATACACCAATACCTTAAAAGCATAAGTAAAATAAAGTTTGGAATTGGCATGTCAATGCTTTAATATAAAAACTGTTTATAAAAACTGTTTCTGGGTCTAAAGACACCTTTCAAACAATGGTAGAACATGAAATATTATAAATTAAACTTGGTGCTATCCAGTAACAAGAGGAGGGAATCATATCACTGCAGATTTCATTAAATGACATTTCAGGTAGCTTCTCACTCAAAATACAGAGACTTCAGGACATGTTAGAAAGGACAATCTGACATATTCCATTGATATATTTGACAATTACCACTTGTGTCTTTTTTCCCACAGCCTACCTTAAAGCCATAGATGAAGCAATTCTTAGTAAGCTGTCAATTAAGAGAGAAAAGAGGAAGGCAGTCAGCCACACCACCAGGTTGCATCTAACAGAAATGACTTGAAGGCCAAGCAACACCTTAGTGAGCTGTGTCGGTTTTGGTTATGATAGAGTCCATTTTCTTCACAGCTGTGTTTCGGATTTGTGCTGGAAACAGTGTTGATTTCGTTATTGGTGAGCAGTGCTTGCACAGCATCAAGGCCTTTTCTGCTCCTCACCCCACATCACCAGCAAGGAAGGGCGGGGAGTGCATAAGGAGTTGAGAAGAGACACAGCTGGGATAGCTAATCCCAGCCGACAAAGGGATATTCCATGCCATATGGCATCATGCTCAGCATATAAAGCCGGGGGGAAGAGGAAGGGGGGGACATTTGGAGTGATGGCATTTGTCTTCCCAAGTCACTGTTATGCATGATGAGCCCCTGCTTTCCTGGGGATGGCTGAAGACCTGCCTGCTCACAGGAAATGGTGAATAAATTCCTTGTTTTGCTTTGCTTGCATGCACAGCATTTGCTTTCCTTATTAAATTTTATCTCAACCCATGAGTTTTTTCACTTTTCCAATTCTCTCCCTCATCCCACTAGAGGGAAATGAGAGAGTGGCCGTGTAGGGCTAAGTTGCCAGCTGGGGTTAAACTATGACACCAGCTTGACCATGTCTGTAACTCAGAAGCCAACCCTACACCCCTCTTCACCACAGGGAACTGCCAGCTCCTCTGTTTTTCCAGCAGTAGGACAAGAAGGGGCACAACTTCTCTAACATCCAGAAGACTGACTATGCTCAAATCCACACAAACTGTAACACCGTTACTTAGAAATGCTCTCCCTACAGATGAGGTGGTTTGGAACACATAAACTTCATCACTCCGTATCAATGACATGTAATATCACTCATAAATGTTACCATGAGTACAAAAAGAAGTAAATGTAAAGCAATCCTTCAATTTCTCAGAAACAGAAATGTACTGCCTTATAGGTAAACTGTGGAGTCAATAGCAGCATGGAGATCTACTGCAACTACTGTGCTAAGCACATAAAGCCAATGTGTAGCACACAAAAAAATAAAGGAATACTCCTTGCAAAAAGGCACATTAAGGTTCCCTTGTAGAAAAAACTTTGAGCAGCTCATTCTGTGACACTGATATCTAGTCATACCAATCAAAAGATGTGGTGCTATGGGCCCCAACATCTAGATGTTTTGTTAGACAAACCAGAAAGCAGAATTTTCTGTGTCTTTACACTCTTTTCCAGACAACGTCTAATAAACCTGCTTCTTGATATGCTAAATCCATATTTTCAGCTGGCCAATAACCTCCTCCGATATTTGTGTGTGGTCCAGCCCACAAGAGAAATGTAAGTAGGAATGCAGATGGCTTTTCCACTATCTAGACCAGTTTTAGTGTGGAATTCCAGTGTGGAAACTGGATTGTATGCAAATTCAATGCAATCTCAGAATCCACTTTTTTCTCCTCATAACTCCCTCCCTTCAGCAACCTATGGAGGAACAGGGGGTTAGCTAAGTCTCTGAACCACCAAATGTCTTCAGTTAGTTTCCCTTTTCTTACAGAGGTAAGAATATTTGGTCCTTTGGTTTCCTTTGAAAAGGAACAGATCAGAGGCTACCTAGCACAACCAGTAACTCGCCTCAAGGAGTGGATACAACCAACCCATTCTCTTTAGGAAAGCCTCCTTGCCTTTGTTACAGAGGTGCCAAACAAAAAAGAAATAAGAGAGCACTGACTACATAATCTACAAAAAAGATCACAGATCAGAAAAGAGCTTTTGTTTAATTCTAAGGAAATAGGGGGGGCATTAGGCACTGCTCAAAAAGAGGTGATTGTCCAGCTCTACTCTGTGCTGATGCATCCTCACCTTAAATATTGTGTGCAGTTTTGGGTGCCACAATATAAAAAAGACATTACGCTATGAAAGAGCATCCAAAGGAGGGCAACAAAGATGGTGAAGGGCCTTGAGAGGAAGCCGTATGAGGAGCTGCTGAGGTCACTTGGTCTGTTCAACCTGGAAAAGAGGAGACTGAGGGGAGACCTCATTGCAGTCTACAACTTCCTCATGAGGGGAAGTGGAGGGGCAGGCACTGATCTCTTCTCTGTGGTGACCAGTGACAGGACCCAAGGAAACAGCATGAAGCTGAGTCAGGGTAGGTTTAGGTTGGATATCAGGAAAAAGTTTTTCTCCCTGAAGGTGGTTGGGCACTTCCCCAGGGAAGTGGTCACAGCACCAAGCCTGACAGAGTTCAAGAAGTGTTCGGCCAACGCTTTCAGGCACATGGTGTGATTCATGGGGTGTCCTGTGCAGGGCCAGGAGTTGGACTCAATGATACTAATTGGTCCCTTCCAACTCAGCATATTCTATGATTCTATGAAATGCTCTTATACGTCAGTAACAGCTGATTTTTGAGAAAAGTGGAACTATAGTATTTTTTGGAGACACTGCCTCACTGGTATTGTTCCCATTTCTCATATAGTCATTCCACTACCACCTACTGAGGGAAACAAACAGGGTGGAATGTAAAAACATCTCCTGAAAGTAACTATAAAGGATATTAACATTATGGTATTGACAACCTTCTATCCCCAGCCCTAAATTTAATTCACAGTTTAATGTACAGGTAAAATGGACAGAAGATGGTACCCCTAAAATAGGGTCCACCTTGGCCCTCCCATCTTTGGTGTCAATAGCTTAAAATCCCCTGCCTGCCCACTACAGATTCTTATTCCAAAGAAAAACAGGTCAGTTGTTTTCTTCTTTTCTTTTTAGTTCAGATGTACAAGATCCATCAAGACTGTATCTCAAAAACTAGGCTAGTTGGTTCAATTAAAGGAAGTAGAGAACACATTGTATTGACATATTTTCTACAATGTTAAACTTTGGTCAGTAAACACCAGAAGTTTTGGTGCACAACACTAAGTCCTGGTTGGGCACTGAACAGTCAAATGCTACTTAATATGATATTACAATGAAACAGACAAAAGATGTTACAGACTGTGATTAACAGACATGTCATAGAAATATATATTACGCCACAGTCCTGGTACTCTGCAAACAAATCTTCAGGCATGATCAAATTACCTAAAAGATTATAAAGAAAAATTATTTTTAGATTAAATACTGAATATTAGTCTTATAATTGTACTTGAGCAGAACTGTAAGATGCTACAGATACTTCATGTCTTTTCGATGGTCTGTGTATGTTTGCAATGCAGAGCCAATATTCAGGGAAAATTGGGCATTATTAGTACCTTGCAGGATTACAGGCCACCCTGAAGAGTAAAAAATTATAAAATTTAACACAATGGTTTGCCTATAAAGTAACTCTCAGTATTCTAACAGAGATGAAAATATATTCTCCCCGTTAGTATTCCTTTCACCTTTCACTTCGCATTTTTTTTCACTTCTCAGGATTCAAGACATTTAATTTTGAGATTGATTAAGCAAGTAATTAATTTTAAACACTGACTTCAATGGCAGCACCTAAAAATATTCAGACACCTTTAAGACTGAAGGCCCAAAGCCATAAGAGGCAATTCTTATTATAAATAAATAAATAAAAGTGTAGCACTACAGCCCCAAACCTTGCAGTTATTCTGTCTGTTACCTTCCAGGTAAGTTGTCAGTTATAAGATGTTATTTCTCACCTGTACTCCTGCTCAGTAGTTAATCATCTTTTGAAGAGCATCATAGCATTTCCATTTGTCTGGGATGTAGAAAGGCTCAAAGATGTGAGGGAAGGGAGTGTCATAGCCACATACTCTTGCAATAGGAGCTTCTAAATTCAAAAAGCATTCCTCCTGTTAACAGAAATACAGAATAAATGTTAGTGAGGCCATTATTTTCAGGAGTCTTGCTTCACAAATTGAGGTCAAATGAACTCTGCCAGACTGACAGTCCTGGAAACTCCAACCTTCTATTTATATCACTGAATAAGTAGTCGAGACCAGAATAGTGCTTCCTTTTGCACAAAAGGTCCATATTAAAATAACAACTTGTATTAATGTTATTTTCATTTTCTACATGTGTGCTGCATTAAATCATAGGCAGGTTATATTTAGTACATCTGCTATACATCCAGACACCTGCTGCCAAGAAACAAATATTTTAGGAACAAAGGAGTAAGAGTCTCTTTCCTATGTCACTTTTAAACATATAGAAAAATTACATGATCTAAGAGTGTGTCTTATTTGTTTGATACATGAACATCATATTCAAACTTCTTTGAACTCTAAGATCATTAAGACTCTGTCTAAGCAATAAGAAGTTATGGAAATTATGAATTTGAACTCCAGTGGATTCGCATATCACCAATCTTTGAGTCACACACATGCTCTACACAAAACCCCACAGCCTGTGTTCTACTTGGAGATCAGATTTGATAACAACTGCAAGAGTTTCATTATTTGATCTAGTAGGGTACAAAATATTACAGATACACCATAGTAATCTGAAAGTAACCTATAACATTATCAGCCTTAATAACCAAATAAATAGTGGAGTTTCAATCTTATTACTCGCAAGTACCAGAGTGATGGCATGGACCACAATAATGTGCAAGAAGCAGATGTAGAAATAACTTTGCCAGATCAAACTGATGTTGACGCTAATTATCAACTCCCATTCTCCTAATATCTTTAGTATATGTATTTGCTTTCCGAAGCAGACAAACCAAGAGACAAAATACATCTCGTCCTGGCCCCTACTTTATGGACTGCAGCAACTGAGACGTCCTGGCCAACTTCCCCTGTACTTGGCTCAGTAAAATGGAAGATGAAGTATTATCTACTGGTCTTTTCCACCAGTCCACAAGGAAAACAGTTAAAGAGCTATGCTTTTCTACAGAAAAGAGTTAAGTGTTTTCTCAGACTGATGAACTGTTTTGAACGCACGTTGCCTTGCAGTCCATAGCAGTCCAACTCTACTTACTGTACTTTCTACACATCACGATATTTGGCAGTATAGGAGGTATTCATAACACACTAAGATTGTAAACTTTCACTACAGCTACCACTTTGGTACATTGTGAAGTGGATATTTCTGAAGGACAGATGGAAATAAAAAAGCCCAAGAAGTTGTGTGATTGCATACAGTGTCATTACATTTATTAGTGAACTAATTCACCTAAAAAACTTCAGAGTCTGAGTAGATCTGAGGTAAAAATATATGCAAACACAAATATTTTTGAGCTCCATTTTCAGGCACTCTTTTCTTTGTAAAATGAAAGATTCACATTAGTACAAAATGCTGTGAAGTAGAGAGTATTAAATCTACCTGTGCACGAGGTAAATCATGATGTCCTACTCTAACCTGCTGGCAAGGGTATTTTTGATACTAAGCAGTCCTTGATTCCCATGCTGCAACTGACCAATAAGACAAGGCAATAGCTTTTGGACCATCCCAAAACTGACTGCCCAGACCATCAGTCAAGTTGCATTACCACAAAACATTCAAGTGTATTCTAGACCCACAGCTTCCCAGTCCTGCATTGCTGTTTCCAAGTACCCGACACAGACCACTGCCTAGGAGAGATTTCTGATTTACGTTGTAACCAGCTCAGTCCATCCCAGATGAAGGCTGGAGAGAAAGTTCATTAGTTTCACTGAAAATATTAAGTGCAATACTCACAGTATATTACTACCATCTTTTTTAAAATACAACTAATAAGTTAATAAACCTTATCAGTTCATGGGGGTTTGATTTACCTCTGGAACCAGTTCTAATTTATGGGACAATATATTCACTGGTGTCCTTTAAATCTAAATCAAACAAAGCTTTTTCACAATGCTACAGAATATGAAACTGCCTGTTTGATGGTATTAACTTAACAACTGTAATTTGAGTAAATTACATTCTTCATTACACGCCATCATGCTTTGAAAAATCATAGTGTTAGCAAGATATATATCTTGATATAGAAAAAAATTATATAATCTATGGACATATTTCTAACTAATCTTCCTTTTTGCACTGAAAAAGCACTTAAAGTCAAGTGATCAGCCCACCAAACAGACAAGAGTCCACTTCGTCCCAAATATGATACTTCCCCATCTGCTGTTCATACTGCTGTGCCAGATTTTTTGCATCTGTGCAGCCACATTGTAGAGAAACTTGACAGAGAATATTATATAGAACTCCCAGCTCTTTTTAAGACTAATTAGCAGATCTCCACTGTACAAGCCTACTAGAACAGGCCTATCACAGTATTTAAAAGTGATAGAATGTCAAAATTTTAAAATAAGTAGATTTACTCCATATTACTTGGGCTTATAAGGGCTGGTATTAGCCCAAAGCACTCTTGCACAAGAGAGGAATGGAAACTTACAGCCTTCACTAAGTCCCTACATATTTCAGAGAGACTGTTTAAACAATCTGACATCTTTCAAGGAAAGACCTTAGAAAAAAACTTTAAAATTAAATGGTTTTGGAAGCAAAGTAGTAGGCATGGGATTTCTGATTCAGAGTAAAATGGTTTAAGCTCAGTTTTGAAAATCACTATGAAAATCACTATATTCAGTAAGATATCCATAACTTCCAAAATTCAACTGAAGTAAAAAAATATTGTTAGAAAACTAAATGCTTACAAGGCAACAGATACAGTTATTAGTCTAATAAATCTAAATTTTCTTAATAAAAACAGATTAGACAAAACATTAAATTGCTGTTCTTCTTGCTCTGCTTCCTAAGTGCAGAGGCCAAAATCTAGCCTCAGTTATTCAATACGACCTTTGCCAGTTACCTTCATTTGCCTGATTTTCACTCAAAACTTCCTGGAAAATACATTATTATATTCTATAAAGGCATTTTAATTGGTCACACTATTTCCTCTCAACATTTGATGTTTAATACACACTTAGGAAGACCTTTCAAAACAACTTAAGTGCACAAGTCCCACTAAAAATCTCTTCTTAAAAGTCATAGCAATCACTCAGATGTATCCCACACACCACTTCAAAACAATCTCATGCCTTGATTTTTAGAATAGATGCTAAAAGCAAGGACTTGATGGATGTTGCATGTTCGTATGTGAAATGGATCCTCCAGTACTGGGTACACTCCCTGTATTTCCCCAAATCATAATATTGTAAGTATGCTAATATAGAAAGCTCTACTCAAGCCTTTTTTAGCTTTATTTAAGTACATCTTTTCCTCTTATCAGAGATTCAGGTACTCATTGCTAAATCAGGGTTCCGAGTGTAAAACTCACGACTGAGAACTGCAGACATTTATAGAGATATAAATTCGTACAAAAAGGCTAAAGTACGAAAAACAAATCCACTATTGGGCCTTACTGGAAGAAAACATTACTCATCCTTCTGCAATGTACAGAAAAACAAAGCAATCCAGTACACAGTCTAGATGCTTTTAGGCATATGGCCAATAAGAAAATAGTTAAAGAGTTTCTTGCTCCAGACCGTCCTTCCTCTGAAGGGAATTTCTAGCATTCCACAGTCATACTAAACAAATCTTCAAATGCAAACACTTTGGTAAGTAAGTACTGGTAAATGAGACTATTAATGCATACCTAGCAAGTCAGACAAATTCAAACTCATATTTTCCCCCTATTTTAGTCTTACCCTCCTTAATTCCATGTTTTTGGAGTCTATTCCATTTTTCCCCTCTAACTGACATGGATTAAAATCAGTAAAATGGATATTTTATTCTTTTTATTTCTACTGCTCTGTAGAATACTCAGTAAGTGAAAAAATTCTTTAAAAATAAATTATTTCTGCAGCATTTTTTGTCCCAGGGGTCTCCCTCATATTATTCTTATTTTGCAACACTACGAGTACCCCAAAAAATTAACAGCTACAAGAATGTCAGATGACGACTATACAAGAACACTGATTTTACAACTCCTTTTTCAGTACAGGAATTTACTTTCTGTAGGATGATAAACAAAAGGTTGATATTAAAGACTAATATGAATAGGAAGAGTTTGATAGAAATTTTAACACTTATTTTGGTATTATTGCTATTATAATAAAAAGAAGACTAAACATAAGGTTAAAGTCCATTACAAAAGGTAAACCATAGGAACATTTTTCATACAAGACTACTTATTCTTTTGCTGAAAATAACTACAAAATTTATAGTCAGGAATTCACATGACAAGCTACAAATTTTTGATTAAATTGTGGTCAATTCTGTCAATAAGAACTCTGAATTTTGCAATTTAATCTATTGATTATAAAATTTTAAAAAACACATATATGCTTGAAGAATTTTTCAGAGAGAAAACTCTTATCACATCAGAGTTTCACTTTCTGTTCTGGTATTTTTGTTCTGATTTATTTATGCTGTTGCCATAAACTAAAGTGTGGGACTCAAATAGTTAAGAAAACTTATTCCAGATCACTTTGTTGATGAATGTTATGTATTACTATAAAAATTATTTCTATAGTAATATCTATTTCTATAGTAATATCTATTACTATAGAAATCTATTACCACTACTAAATTATCTATTACTTCCCCATATGGATTTCTAACTGGAAATTACCTACTATTGTAAGAATAAGATGAAACCTACTATAGGTTAATAACAAACATGAGAATCTCTTTTACAAGAAAATCTATTTTTTATCTCATAGCTTAGATAAAGATTTTCAAAAGAAGCTTTCCAAAGAGGTAGTAGATCAAACTCCATTTTATAAAAGGTGGATTTCATGCAATAAAGCTCAGACCAAAGATTAAAGGTCTTTTTCTCTGGTTTCTGCTTAAAAAGAATGCCTAATCTGAACAATTTACTTTCAATAACAGAAAAGTGAAGCATCTGCAGTTTTCATATGTTTCTCAA